GGACTCAAACCGCGGTCCACTACATGGGAGTCCAGCGACATGGCCATTACGCCAACTGCTGGTCCCAGCACTTTAATTTTTTGACCAACTATTGTCTGTGTGCCGGGCAGTGTCGTAAACATTTCAGATCTGCCATCTCTTACTCTTCATGAGAACCCCACGTCACAGGTCTCATTGTCCCCACTTTGAAGATGAGAGACAGGCTCGAGTAGATCAAGACCCTGACCCAAAGTCAGAGAGGAAAAAAAGAACAGCGCTGAGATTTGAACCCAGGATGCAGACCTGGCTGGTTCTCAAGTGTGTCCCCCTCATTCCTAACCCAGTGCTTCCCAATGGAGTATGTCTTTGAAGTTTCACATGGATATTATGAGGTCTTCTCCCCAAGAAAAGGATCAAAGAGGTGAATTGTGGGATCAGCAGTTGGCATAATGGCTATGTTGCTGGACTCCCATGGAGTCGACCGTGGTTCAAGTCCCGGACCCGGTGGCTTAAACACACACCAGGCGCGTGTGTGTGCGTGCCCAAGATCCTGAGAGGAGAATGGAGGAGAAGGGATTGCGGTGTGGCCATCCCCCCTGGGGGGTGATTTCTCACTTTCTGTCTCTCTGTCTCTCTCTGTCTTTCTGGTGAGCGCACACTCCCTATAGCAAAAAGCTCTCCAAAAAAAAAAACAAGAGGTGAATTGAGATGGTGTCCTCCTCGTTATAGGACTCCGCAGAGCCTTGCATATGCTGGTGTATAACCGAGAGGTATAGAGTTATACAGGGTTTTCCAGGCCAGCTCAAATGAAGACCTTTCCTGGCTGGATGCTATGCGATTGGTGTACCCCATAACATACTTTGGGAAACAGGGCTCTAAGCACTGCTCTTCAGAGTGTGACGGGAGGACCCAAAGCTGAGGTGTCACCTGGGAGCGTAGAAGAAATGAACGATCTCAGGCCTTACCCTGACCGCTGGACGAGACTCCATTTAACAAATGTTCTAGGATCCAATGGAAAGTACTTTAAAGTCTGAGAAGTTGAGCTGGGATGAGCGAGAGGGAATTCCTAGCTTTGTTGTTTGGTTTTTTTCTTTTTTCTTTTTTTTTTTTTTTTTTTGGGGGTTTTCGCTATAGGGCACCTGCCCCGGCCAGAA